GGAAGGTGTCTGTTTAAAACAGCCATTGCTACTGCAGAACACTGCCCTACAAGGTCCAGTTTTACTGAAACTCAAAGCCTTTCAAGAAATATAAGACCTGTCTGTATTACCCTTCAGAAGCTTTAGCATTCAGATCTTATTTTTTAAAAACTGAACTAATATAAATTTATAATATTTTTGTTAGTCTTGGTACCTCTTTTTTGTACTCATCTCCATTTGCTAGTAAGTTTCAAAATGCTCTATTCTTGCGAAACCTCATTATGACTCCTTTTTCTTTATCTGTGAGTCTGAAATTAACTTGACATCAATGTTTTGCATATATTTTAGGCTAAATGTGAAGTATTCCCTTAAACCCATGAGGCATTCAGAAAGTTGGTAAGTTCTGCTTTCAAGGACACTCTAAAGGAGGTTATTAAAATTCAACACTTTGCATATTCTGATGGGGAAAAACATTTGTCTGACAACAAAGGAGATAAGTTGATTCAAGAAAGCTTCTCAATCTCCTTATCCATGGCCACTGAATTCCTCTTGCCAGTATTTGTAAAACCAAAATTAGAAAACGTTACCAGGGAGGAAGAAAAGTGTAGGAAACCAGGTCCTGTCCAAAAGTAAAAATCCATAACCATCTGTTGTTTGTGTTACATGGATTTCACAACTGTCATCTCCACTGTGCGCACCATTTCATCTTCGCAGCAATATCACCAAAACACCCACTGAGACAAAATCACAAATATTTTGAACATACCATATGATATGTTATTTTACAAATTAACATTTGACAAAGTCAAAGTGAGGACTTGCCTATAGGTTGCTTTTGTGCTGTCACATGAAAAAATCCTTTAAGGGTTTGCTACTGCTTGGAAATACTTCAAACTTGAGTAACTTAAGCAATACAGAAGAAAGAAAAATGATTCAATTTTTAATTATAAATGTATTTTGAAAAATTGTAATGCCTACTACATACACTTAGCATCTTTCTTCAAAAGGGGTCTAAAGATGTTTTTTAAATTATTTACTTAGAAATATCATCCAGAATTTAAATGAATCTTTTTTGTTTTCTGAACTTTAGACCAGCAAAACTGTCCCACATTTCACAGCTCAGTATGGCTTGAAGAATTTATCAGCTCTCAAGCTGATCTTAACCCAGTGTCATACCCAAAAAGTTCTTTTTGGGGAAAAAACCGCAACCAAACAAAAGAAACAAAACCCCCAAACTTGGGAGTTGTCCTTGGAAATTGTCCTTGAAAAAATGTCAGAAAAAGAGTTAAAGCCTAGTGAGTAAACAAACTGCTTTTTCCCTGAGGAAATCTAAAACTCAAGGTCAGCTCTGTCTGAAATCACCAGACTTGTCACATGGCTTTCATAGCTGCCACTATGGCTCCCATCAAATCCACACTGAAAACAATGAAAACATTTTTACTGGAAACAGATAGAGCTCTGATAAGAGGCTCCCTAATCACCTTTGGCTGTTAATGCTGCACAAAGTGAGAGGTAAAGTTTTGAAAAAGAGAAGAATGAACAAAGAAAATTTGAGGTCAAATGTATTTATCTTTTTCTTTAGTTCCTTGATGTTTGCATGTGTTAGAGCAGAAATATGGCTCTATAAGTATATGGATACATATATAGTTCATATATATGTGAATACATACATAGACATGCATTTTATAAACGTATGTGCTTGCACACATACAGAAATACAGCCTGACCTGTCAGTATAACTCAACTAATTCCATTTTATCCCAGCTTCTGTCCTCCAGTAACAAAAGTCTGGTGGTCTCAATCTCAGTCCCTTGGGTATAGGAATCCATCACAAAACCATCACCCTTAATTTAATGCAATTGACAGTCTCTGCTCAAGAGAGGCAGAAGAAGGAGTTACCATGGAGACTGAACTACTGCTCTTCTCCAGAGGATGCTTTTATCAAGCACGGGCTGAACAGTAGAGGATGTGCAACCTTGAGGTTTGTAACCTTGATCATATCACATCTTGCTTTTTGGGATGGCTTTTTAGTAAACTCTAAAAAAGATTCAGGAGATGGGTTTGAGGGGTGGGGGAAGGAGGAAGAGAGAGCTTTAAGAAAACAAACAAACCAACCCCTCAAAACACAACAAAAACCAGGATGTAGGTGCATATTGTGCCAGACTGAGAGGGAAAAGGAGTTTCATATCAATTTGATTTATCAGAATTGTCACCTCTGCCTAGTGCTTTCCTAACAGGGTGAATGCTGTGCTTGACCTATTTGCTGGAATTAACCAGAACTGCAGGAGACCATATGGATTGCCAGATGGTCTGCTATAATTTAATGCCATTTATTCTAAGCATGAAGTAAGTGATAAACATAATTAACATTCTTTTAGCTCCTTACTGGATGCCTTTTATTGGTTTCTTTTTTTTTTTCTCAGGCATCGAAAGGTAAGTTAATATTTTGTTGCTGAAACACAGATGCCAGCTAATTACTGCAAGAGGCTGCAGCCTCTAAAGCAAAAAGTGTCTGCACAGACTCTAACTTGTTCATTGACCCCAGTGGGGTGATTAATAGGTTGAATGCTAAGCTCTAATGAGGATGGCAGATCTTAGATGTTTTCAGGTTACCTTAATTAGTAGTATGATGAACAGTGTTCATTGCAGATGTACGTATCACACTTCACAGTAAACAATATACCTTGTACTCATGGCCTGAACAAGTATTTCACATTGCAGCACATCAAATATGAAGGAAGAATCAAACCACTTTCAGACAATAAAAACAATGAAGTGACTTCCTTCAGAAATGTTTTTCCTGATAGCTATTTCATATTCTGCCAGTGATTGTCTAAATGGCCTATTTTTTAGGAAGTAGTCCTAGAGAAGGTATGGCTTCAAAGAGTGTTTATATCAGGCAGGGTCGTCATTTTCAGCATTTTAAAATCACGAGTCCGTAACTAGATGTCCAAACAACTTTGCCTACTGTTCCTGTGCTGATAATCTTCATACTGACTGGGGTAGGTGTTATCAGAATGAATAGCAAATAATTTTGTAATTTTTAATGTCGATGTAGAGATGAAGTTAGTATGCTGGTACTCAGAACAGTAAAAGAAGTATTAAAAAAAAAGGCAGGAGTACTAAATCCTTTGTATTTTATATAAAAAGTTGTGCACATTGAAACTCACAGATAAAAATGACCACAGCTGAATGTCCTGAGATTTGCATCTGTACTGTTAATAAAACCTGGGTGAACTTTGACCCGACAGAAACAGCATAAATTAAATGCTATTCAAAGAACATAACAAAACAGCACCTGCGCTGTAAAGCAAACCTGCTTCACATGATTAAAAGAGCCCAGGTCAGCAAGTCACAGTATAGCAAAAGAAGAAAAAAACTCCAGCCTTTCAACACTTGTTTTTCCCCAATTCCAGATGAGTTCAGCACTTGTTCAGGGGCCTCCACAGTTACAAGTTACAGTCTACAGTGCACATGCTGATGCACCCTTAAGAAACAGATACTTTAAAGGGGACCTGATGTGATGGGACATACCTGGTCTTTTACTTCAGTCTTATTTGTACTGAGTTACTTCTTCACCTGGTGAATCACTTGCCTATTGTTGCCAGTCCTATAAAATCCTTTATATTTCTCTACTAGTATATGAATAACTTATGATTCTCTACTAGTATATGAATAAAAATACATCAAAATATCTGAACAGGAAGCTTTTGTTGATATTGATTCCTCTTGTCAAGATGTGTCTCTGTGACTGCCAGCATTTGAGAAAAGATCCATTTTTCCATCCCATCAACTGAAAAATACTTACCTGAGGTGCTTAAGCTAATGCTATGCTGGCTTCAGCTTCAATATTATAGTTAGAGGGGAAAAAGAGGTACTTAGAGAGAGCAACTCAGGTAGCCTGAATTCCTCTCTGTAGGAACGTTCCTCCCTTCCCTGACTGCTAAATGAGTTGGGGCCATTCATGTGTCAAAACTTAGGTAGGCTGAAATCAGTGATAAAAATTACCATGCTATGAGGCTTCATGCACCCTTCAACAGATCATTTGTAGGACCTGCTGTTACACAGATATCAGTTCTGAAAAATACTGGAGTATGCTCTTCAGTGATTAAAGAGTTTCAATCTCAATATGCTATTGGGACAATGTTTTCAGTTTCTATGTATATAGATTTATACATATACACACATTTATAAATCTATGCATTTAATTGCTCCATCATTGCAAATAGTCTGAGATGTTTCAGGTGGTTACCTTACAACATCAAAAGAAAGGGAAATACCAGATCTATTGCCTGAATTAATCTCTTATTCAGACCTCTGAACTGCCCGAATAAGTGTTTTGCCTAAGCAGCAGCTAGCTCTCAAAAATACTTAAAAAAGAAAAAAATTCTGAAAAAATGAAAAAACCAAGCAGAATTTAACAAGTTAGTCTTTGGGGCTGATAGACACAAAACCTGTCAAAGCAGGTTTGACAATTCTTAAACATAGCTTTATACTTTAAAATTCTTTTTCATCTGTCTTGTTCTTTATTTGTTTATTCACAATAAAAAAGATATCAGCGAATTTATGTTCACTGTTCAGTCCCAAAAATAAGATTGTCTGCATCTTAGCTGTCATAGATGGCTTGTTTAAAACATCAGTCTTGGCCTAAGTGGAAAGTAGGATTTTAGGACAAATAAGGACAAGATGTAAAATCCCTGACTACACAGGAATACCTGTGCCTGAATAATGAAAACTATAAAAATAAATTTCTATGATTAAGCTCCATCATCAGACATACTGAGAGATCTCACCAAGGCAGTGAAAACTGATTAAATGTACCCCCAGACCCAGATGAAGTTACTTGGGCATTGATTTGTTGGAAAAATGATTCTCTCAGAAATTGTGAATTTAGGAAAAAATTGCAAAATAGAGTTAGGTAGAGGATCAAAGAAAAGGCCCTAAGGGGAAAAAACGCTTTAAGAGCACACGAAAAAACCCCAAACAAACAATGGTATTTACAAATTTCACAAATCTCTTACCTCCTGCATACATGACAGCCAACATTATCGATGATATCCAAGCTATCTCACTATAAGATGTGTGGAAGATTTCTTGTATTTCTTTGAAGAACACCGTGATGGCTTTGGGGAATGCATAGGAAAATCCAATGGAAATAAAAGCCCCAAAGACCACAACCCATCCCCAGCCTCCATCAGGAGGCGGGTAATCTGGCGCTCCTGTTGCTGGTGGCATTTTTTGGTCTCTATCTCTTCGCCAACTAGGCTGGAAAAGAAGAAAAGAAACAGGGGTTTAGTTTTCCCTCTTTTCCATATCAAACTATAGTATTCAATCATCATCTGCAGGGATTATAATGAGTCCTCAGAGCAAAGACCAATTTCCAACTTTCATGGAATCACAGAACGCAAGTACCTGTTTTTAGAAGCAAAACCTGTTCTGCAAAAAGGCTTTTGGCAAGAATATTTCCAATAGCCTATTCAACATGTGGCAACTGTTACAAATCACTGATCTCAGTCACTAAAGCTGCATTTGCAATTATTCACTTATTGGAAAGTGATAAGTTTGTGTGGGCTAATTTACATAGTTCTACCATCTACAGTATGGATGGGAAACAATGGAAAAAAGTTACATTAAATTATAACTAAATGTCATTGTGTTAGCAAGATTTATTGGTACCACAGCAAAATCATCAGCAACAGCAGAAAGGAACGAACTGCAAACAACTGAACAGCAAGTTCTAAGCAGAGATTTAAAATTCCCTGTGTACCCATAAGTAAATACAAAATATTAAAATTCCATTTTGTACTTCTGTTTTTCAAGATTTTCATCTTCATATTAGTTATGTTGATATTATTTGCAGGATCAAAGTGGAGTTTGATGGAGTTAATTTTGCTGTTTCCACATGTCAGAAGACATCAGGAAACCTTTCCCTAATAAACCTCACAAGCTTTCCACAGCTATTCTCTACCTTAGAATTGACCACAGAGATGCCAACAGAGCCATATCTTATAGAGGTTCTGAGACGTGTAACCAATGCATTCAGGCAGCTCAAGAAATCATAGATAATCCACATAAAACTCATAAGGCCTGAAATAAATGTCACCCTATTAATGTCATCTTCATATCTAAAACCTTAAGTTTTCTACATTCTGCATTTCCTTTAGGAAACATGTTTAGAAAACATGTAGCAGTGATAATCCATTTTTTAATTCTGAGATTTTTCCACTATCAAATCTCTTTATTATTAAACACAGTCCTGGAGTACACTGTGTTTTCTTCTGTGTAATCCAGCCTACACAGACAGTATGAACTGCAAATTCCTCCTTCCTCTCTGTTTCTTTCTCAGGCATTTAGATAATTTATTATTCTTCACTGGTCTCCTGCTGTACCAGTATCGAAAGCTGTGGATGATAACAGTGTTTAAGTTGCTGTTATGCTTATGATTACCAGTAAGTCTCTACGTGATTTCTTCTGTGCCACTTACAGCATATTCCAATTTCTCGCAGTAAACTGCATTAGCAGTGGGAGTGATATGATTACCTTAACAAAAACTGAAAAACTAGCTGCGTCACCTTATATTAATCTCTTAGGATAGTGCCTGGAGTATTTCAGGCTAAATGCCATGTAGTATATGCCACAAAACAAGCAAAGTGTTGCTTTTAAGATTACCTATCACTAGGTGATAGAAACCCAGTGTACTTCTGATTCTCCACTTTACTTAAGCGACTGTAGATATCAGCTACAATCTGATGTAGCTGGCAGACCTTTTGGGGAAAGCTAAATCAAGGACTAAAACATCTGGTTTTTATTAAAGATAAAAAAAGCCCAGGTAGTTTGATTTCTGTACCATATAACTGAGATTTGCTGCTGGCAGCAATAGGTATCTATTTCTCTGTACACAGAACACATAAATCTTTTTATGCGCTTGTCCAGAAAGAACCTCTGTTTCTGCTTATCCTAGTTACAGCTTAATGTTAGTTCACCAACACACATCAGAGAGGAAAACCCGGGCCTGCCACCAGGAAAAGTTGGAGAAGTAGAAACAATTCTGGTTGCTAAGACTTAACTTTGGCAAAGCAGTTAAACACTAGTTTGTTTTTGCTAATCAGGACACATAGAAGGAAGAGTATCTCAGAAAGCCTACTATAATTTAGAGCACACATAATAATGATTGATTGCATTCAAAAGCACAAACCTCAAACTGGTATGAAAAGCAGAACTGTTTTTAAGTGACAGTAAACAACAAGACTGCTATCTATCCCAGAAAGCAGTTGTTCTGCTCATCTGAGAAAACTTTTGGTTATTTCATGAAAAAAAGTTCAACTATTGTTTTCTACACTTCAAAGGCTTGAGTATATTTGTTTTCATATTTACTATTCAGATGTCAACACTTCTATTGCTATTACAAATTTTTGTAATGGCACACAACATCAACACATTGCTCTTCACAAAAATGGAAAGGATTTATCAATTTATTAAGGAAGCACTCCTTCTCCTAAAAATAATATACAACCACTTTGAAAAATCACAGCCACCATATCAGTCAGAAAAATGTTGGAGGTTCCTGAATGTCACTAAAGAATCAATGCTTTGGTTGGTTCACTATGCCCCTTAGGGCATAAGAACAGGCTCTGACAGTTCAGTGCTTTCCTCCCTTCGAATGCTTCACAGTAAATTAAGAAGGCATTAAGGAGCCAAGCAAAGGGGCATTGGCTGCTCCTGTTCCTCAGCCTAGAGGCTAACTGTTTCAAAGCCCACTGAAATGGCTCTGCCTGCCAACCTGCACCGGGCATTACGCTGTCACGAAGAAGAGCCTGGATCATTGTATCTCACACCTCCTGTTTATTCCACAAAGTAGAGTTAATAATAGCTTCCCTGATATTCCTTTATGATCGTCCTGGCCAATTTTAGCTCCAGTTAATAAAAGGTGAACAGGAAAAAAATTATGTTTGCAGCCAGAGGGAAAAAAGTATTCATTTTGTCAGAAACATCAAATCTCAAACATTCCATACCTGCTCAGGAGCTAAAGCTATATTCTGTCGTAAAATCTGCACTTAATATCCCTGAAACTGAATCCTTCCTGAAGAAGTCTAGTCCATTAATATACCTAGCTCTAACCTAAGCCTAACTAGTAAGATTTGAGTAGTATAGGTAGTATTCAGAAAAGTGCAAAATCCATCACCAACCAAATCAAAACAGGATTTTACATGAGTGGATACAAATGTTAATAAAGGAAGAGGCACAGAATGAAGGAATGAAGCAGTGACAAGCAAAATGCCTTTTCAGAACTCTTAGTTTATTATGAGCTGGGGAGAATAAAAAGAAATATGGTAGAAATCATAAAACCAGGCATGTGTGACGATGTTAATGTGAAGGACATAGTGCCAGACCAAAAGAAAAAAAGTAAAAAGCAGCACTTGAGTAAATGAGGGTCACCACCACTGTTTTTAGTCAGTCATATGAATTCCATCATGTGCTTAAAGCTAGCAAGCAAGCACTGCTCATACCTATGCCTTTATAGGCAAGCAGTGGGTGAGGAATGCTCCCTGCCCTCTGCCCAGAAAAGCAGCGGGGGAATAGTGACTGAAGTGTGTCCTGAGTGAGGCCATCAATCTCCCTTCTCTCTGTCAGATACACAGAGATTGCTCAGCCCTTACATACCTGTAAGGGTCAGACTGTGCAGAAGGATTTTCTCCTAAGCTCTTTCTAGTTCCCCTGTATAAATCCCATTTACGTAAGCAGTGAACAAGAACATAGCTTACTGTAGTAAGACCTGCATGCTTCTACTAAGAAACAATAGGAGAGAGACAAGAGGGCACTTTTAAAACATCTGATATTCAATATTTTCATTGTGTAGTTTTCAGCACATTTGAACTTAATTAGGCATATGAAAACTAGTGAATGAAAGAGAGAACGAGAATGGGAGGGAAGGGGAAAGGGAGGGAAGGAGGGAAGAAGGAAGGAAGACAAAGGAAAAGAAGGAAAATGAGGCAGAAAAGAAAAAAAAGGAAAAAAGTACCAAGCAAACAACAAGGTCAAAACAAAGAGCAAATGCTACAGACAAATAATGTACCTTGATATCATGCACTGTAGACTTCAGTCAGTTACAATCAACCTTTTCAAACTGTTCTTGTACCCATGCTTCATTAATATTCTGCAGTTGCCAGCTGCCAGAATCAGATATCAATAAAACAGCTTGTCAAAGACCCTTCTAAGAAGGGGTTATGTTGCTCTCTTGTTTACAGAGACTCTGATTTTACTGGGATATTTAGTCTTGTTTTTCTGCAATATTAGAGTAACTGTTTGCTTTCCAGCTTGGATTTTGTCTGCCTTGTCCTGAATGTGCCCCATCACCACTTGACTCAGCAGCCATTTGTCCCAAAGTAAAAGAGCTGGTATGTGAAAAATCTGTCCCCAATTGCTGTAGGATAGTGGGAATACTTGGCTTGAGTGCACTGCACACAGTGCACAGTTCCACACAGTAAGCCAAGAACCACAAACAGCTTTGCAATTTTGACCAATATCAGTCATGTAACATCCCTGTGGGCTGACTGAGTAGTATCATCCACTTTTAGACATGGGACACAAATGTAATAACAGGCTAAGTAACATAAGTCCTGTCCCAGATCAGTGGCAGAGCTGGGATATGGAGTAATGCCCAAATAAGCTGTGAGTTATGACTAAAATTTTTAAGTATATGTGTGTTTTAGAATCTCATTAAGTAGCAAATTCAGATTAATTGTACTGCTTATACTAGGGTTAGGAGCACAGGTAGGGTACAACATTTGCTTTACACGTTTGAATAGTTTGCTGCTCCAACTTACCTTTAACAACTGTTAATTACACTGCTGTATTTGAAATAAGTTAATTTGCTTCAGCATTAGTAAAATAATGAGTTATATATGAATGATACTCCTATAAAAGGTCCTTGCCTAAAAGCTGCAAAATTTCCAATATTCTTATTTTTATTAACAACTCTAATGAATTCCAAGATGGCAGAATAGCAGGTATCATCTCATCCAATGGTATTGCCTCAACAAGTCCTACAAGTTATTGTCATTATCTTGGAAACAATATTCAGTTTTTGAAGAAAAACATACCTTGTTAGTTTTGTGAGACGGTTTTGTTCTTACTCGTTTGGGTTTTTTTCCTGGAGAGAGGGAGGATGCGAAAACACTCTGACTACAAGGTATCAAGAGAGCCTGTTCTCTGCTTTTAGCTCTAACTATTCAGATCTGAAGACAAAGTAGCTCCTAATGAGCTCT